AACAAGGTCTTTTTGCCTCATTTGCAGGTCGATTTGTTCTCATTCCCGCACAGCTTACATGTAGCGAAGAGCTGGGTGACATTGTTCGCCTTCACGACATGACCCTCGCTCTGAGCGTATATCTTCGGGCAAATGTCCCCAACAAGGTCATCGCATGCTTCGCGGAGACTGGTCAGACCGAGAAGATTGTGTTGTACTCGAAGAAGGTTGGCTATAGCCCGGACTATGTGGCATTGCTCCAGCACATCATGCGAACAAACCCCGACAAAGGTGCCGAGTTCGCGGCTCAACTTGTCAACGATGAGACCGGCCCCCTCGTCGATGTTGAAAGAGTAGGCGTCGGTTGTGCTATACTGATTCGGCATTAACACCCACCCTCAGGTTGTCGACATTTTCATGTCCCAGAACATGATCCAACCTGCGACCTCTTTCCTCCTCGATGCGTTGAAGGAGAATAGGCCCGAACAAGGGCCCCTGCAAACCCGTCTCCTCGAAATGAATCTTGTCCACGCGCCTCAAGTCGCCGATGCCATCCTTGGGAACGAAATGTTCACTCACTACGATCGACCTCGGATCGCCAACTTGTGCGAGAAGGCAGGACTGTTGCAGAGGGTGCGCATTCTTTCCACATCTTCTTCTTCCAACTTCAACTCGAACACAGGCTCTCGAACACTACGAGGACCTGGCCGACATCAAGCGAGCGATCGTCCATACCGCCGCTCTTCAGCCTGAGGTTGGTTCCAGCATCCCCTTCCTTTCCTCACCGCTAATATTGTATCAGTGGCTCGTGAACTACTTCAGCAGGCTCACCACTGAGCAGTCCATGGCATGCATGCAAGAAATGCTGCGAGTTAACATCCGCCAAAACCTCCAGGTCGTCATTCAGATCGCAACCAAGTACTCGGATATCCTTGGCCCAGTCAAGCTCATTGAGATGTTCGAGGGCTTCAAGAGCTTCGAAGGTATTTGTGCAAAACCTTGGTATACTTGACTCGACGTCTTACTGTCTGTACAGGTCTTTACTATTATCTCGGATCTGTTGTGAACCTTAGCGAGGATCCTGAGGTTCACTTCAAATACATTCAGGCAGCAACCCGCACTGGACAAATCCGCGAGGTTGAACGTATTTGCCGGGAAAGCAACCACTACAACCCTGAGAAGGTCAAGAACTTCCTCAAGGAGGCCAAGCTCTCCGACCAGCTCCCTCTCATCATCGTTTGCGATCGTTTCGATTTCGTCCATGACCTGGTTCTCTATCTGTACCAGAACGGCCTGACCAAATTCATCGAGGTCTACGTTCAGCGGGTCAATTCGGTTCGCACGCCGCAGGTCGTTGGTGGGCTGCTTGATGTTGACTGCGACGAAGCAACTATCAAGAGTCTACTCGCCTCTGTCACCGGTAATTTCCCCATCGATGAGCTTGTTCACGAGGTGGAGGAGCGCAACAGGCTAAAACTGATTCTTCCGTGGTTGGAAGCCCGAGTTCAAGCCGGCAGCCAGGATACTGCCGTCTTCAATGCGATTGCCAAGATTTATATTGACAGTAACAACAACCCCGAGGCATTCTTAAAGGACAATAACGTATGTGGTCTTCTCCCCCTCTAGATACTTGATTTGAACATCAGTGTAGCTCTACGACCCCATGATTGTCGGAAAGTTCTGCGAGAAGCGCGACCCTTACCTCGCGTACATTGCCTATGCAAAAGGGTTCTGTGATGACGAGCTCATCGCCATTACCAACGAGAACTCGATGTTCAAGCAGCAGTCTCGTTATCTCGTCAAGAGACGCCAGCCAGATCTTTGGGCGCAAGTTCTCGATGGGGGAAACCTTCACCGTCGCCAGTTGATTGATCAGGTAGGGTTTCTTGTGAAGTCGGAAACGTGTTGTCTGAATATAATCGCTTAGATTGTCGCCACCGCTCTCCCCGAATGCACAGACCCGGATGATGTTTCCATCACTGTCAAGGCGTTTATCCAGGCAGATCTCCCCATTGAGCTGATTGAGCTCTTGGAGAAAATCATTATCGAACCATCCCCCTTCAGCGAGAACCGCAACCTGCAGAACCTCCTGCTCCTCACGGCTGTGCGCGCTGACAAGGGCAAAGTCGTTGGCTACATCAACAAGCTGCAGAACTACGATTCGAATGAAATTGCCAAGATCGCCACCGAGCACGGTCTGTATGAGGAGGCCCTGACCATCTACAAGAAGTACGAACAACATGCTCTGGCCATCAATGTTCTCGTCGAGCACATTGTATCCATTGATCGCGGCTTGGACTTCGCCAATAAGGTCAACAAGCCAGAGGTCTGGAGCAGGCTTGCCAAGGCTCAGCTCGATGGTCTTCGTATCAAGGACTCGATCGGTAAGTAACTGGACAATGCTCGTGTACTCTCTAACGTCACCCTCCAGACTCCTACATCAAGGCTGAGGATGCCACGAATTTCATGGAAGTCATCGAGATATCCACTCGTGCTGGCAAACAAGATGATCTCGTCCGATTCCTCCAGATGGCACGCAAATCACTCCGGGAGCCCAAGATTGACACGGAATTGGCGTACGCGTATGCTAAGACCGACCGACTCCACGACATGGAGGACTTCTTAGGCATGACCAACGTTGCTGACATCCTGGAGGTCGGAGAGAAATGTTTCAACGACGAGCTGTATCAGGCCGCGAAGCTCCTGTTCGCAAGCATTTCCAACTGGGCTCGGCTTGCCACAACCCTCATCTACCTCGGAGAAAACCAGGCGGCAGTTGACAGTGCCCGCAAGGCCGGCAACACCCAGTAAGTACACAATGAGTTCTATGAAGCGTTGGATATTTACTGCTCGTCAGGGTATGGAAGCAAGTGCACGCCGCTTGCATCGAGAAGTCCGAGTTCACCTTGGTGAGAGACGACGACCTAGACTTGGCGACCATTCCCTGAACTTTTTCTAGGCGGAGATTTGTGGTTTGAATATCATCGTTCACGCTGTAAGTGCACTGACATGGCGGCATTCCGTATTGTCTGATCCTCTTTGCAGGAAGAGTTGACTGCCCTGGTGCAGTTGTATGAACGTCGCGGACACTTTGAGGAAGTCATCGCTCTGTTGAAGGCTGGTTTGGGGCTTGAGCGTGCTCACATGGGTATCTTCACCGAGATGGCGATACTGTTAAGCAAATACCAACCCTCCAAGCGTATGCGACCAACTCTCAAATCGAATGTCGCTAACTTGTCCACAGTCATGGAGCATCTCAAGATATACGTTTCACGCATAAACATCCCGAAGGCAAGTTTTTTTTCTCTGAAAAACATATTATCATTCCTAACTTTCCTGTAGGTCCTGAAAGCAGCGGAGAAGGCGCACTTGTGGCCAGAACTCGTTTTCCTCTACATTAAATACGATGAATTCGTGAGTTGGTGTTTGTCTTTGTTATGATCTTGCTTAGTCATCGCTTACAGGACAATGCCGCCGTCGCGATGATTGAACGGTCTGCGGACGCCTGGGAGCACAATCAGTTCAAGGATGTCATCGTCCGAGCGGCGAACGTCGAGATGTAGGCTCATTATACTCATTTCCGGCCTGCTTGACTTAAGACCATTTGTGAACCAGTTACTACCGTGCTTTGTCCTTCTACCTCGAAGAGCAGCCGACCCTCCTGACCGACTTGTTGACCGTCCTGATTCCTCGGATCAACCATGCGCGTGTCGTTCGCATGTTCAGAAAACAAGACCACCTGCCGTTAATTCGCAATTACCTCATCGCTGTTCAAGAGGTATGGCCTGTTCACGGATGTCTGAAGCCTTGTGCTGACTCACTTATAGTTGAACCTCGAAGATGTCAATGACGCATACAACGACCTGCTAATGGAAGAAGAGGATTACAAGACTCTGCGCGATTCTATCGACAACTTTGACAATTTCAACAACATCGGACTGGCACAGCGACTACAGGCCTCTCCACTTCTTGAATTCCGCAGACTGGCTGCGCATTTGTACAAGGTCTGCACCGTAACTCTTTGGTAATTCTTGCATACTGACTGTTTTGGTAGAAAAACAAACGATGGGACGAGTCGATAGCACTGTCAAAGAATGATAGGCTGTACAAGGACGCGATGATAACTGCATCAGTGTCCGGGTCGACAGAGGTTGCTGAGGAGCTGCTATCGTATTTCGTGCAGATTGGTAACAAGGAGTGCTTCTCAGCACTGCTGTACATCTGCTTCGACCTCCTGCGCGCGGATGTTGTTGAGGAGCTCTCATGGCAGCACGGGCTGAATGACTTTTATATGCCGTACAAGATCCAGGGCCAACGGTCACTGGTGAACAAGGTGCGTTGGTTGCGAATATTTGGTTTTTGTTAGTGCTGAATGTTCCGATTTTCCAGCTCGCGCAGCTCGAGAAGGAGGTTCAGGAGAGGTCAAAGAAGGATGTGCAAAAGGAGCAGGCCGAGGCTGAGGCTCCCATCATTAACCCGGGGTTGATGATCACTAACGGTCCGACTGGGTATGTTCTTTTTCTCATCAGAGCATTCGTGTTGACTGACTTGTCTGCAGTTTCGCTGGCCAGGCTCCTCCCCAGATGATGAATGGGATGATGCCTCAAATGACCGGTTTCTACTGATTGCCTCGTTCTTTACCGTATATAGCTTGCTTTGCCATAATGGATATTTCTCTTTTCTTGCAATTTTCGTTCCGATGATCAAATGTGAATTCACTGCTATTGTTTTGCCAGGCACAGAACAGCAGGGAGAAGTGCGACGTTAATCCTTTCTTTTAGATTTGGAAGGAGATCATCCACTCCGGTATCCGACGGTAGGGCGTGTTCAGGAGCTGCAGCTTCGACAGACCATACAAACGTACGTCCCGCTGCTGAAGGCTTTAAAATTAGATGCCCTCAATCTACTTTCTACTAGTGACCTGTCGCAAGCAGGTGAGACTTCTTTTAACGAAAGTCAAGTGAGGGTATTTGAGGGAATAAAATAGACATGAGCTGAGAAAAAAAAAATGCAAAACAGAAAACCGCCAGTGGGGATCGAACCCACAACCTCCGCCTTATGAAATTACTCCTTGTAATTAGGAAAGCGACGCGCTACCATTGCGCCACGGCGGCCCGGTCAGAAGGTGAATCCTTCAGAATTTTAATGGATCTGGAACAGGGCCTGATGCCGCGCCACGGAGTCAATCTCGCATAGATTTTATGGAGCTGGTAGGCCCTGACGCCTTTCTCCTACGTGCACGGCGGCTTGTGAATGCGAGTCAATCTCAGAGCTTTCGTGGAGGTCAAAACATTATCATATTGGGCACAAGAGTATAAAAAACTCTCTCAGACTTTAGTGGCACAACTGAAAGCCCAGGCTGGCGCGGATTCTGATTCTGTCCGCTATTTCAACGGACCAACGGAAGGATGCGTCTCAAACGCACGACATACCCAACATTACCCCGCCGGCAGTAGAGCACGACGAGATGAGGGGATATAATTTAATGTACATACAGGAAAAGTACATCCAATCCATTCCAACGCGCAGTTCCTGACCTACTTATCCAGCTTGCCGTCCTTGACCATGTGCGTCTGTGACTCTGTTTGACTGAAGGTGGTTGCTGAAGGCTGGGGAAGGCGAAGGACGAAACGAGCGGCGTCCGTCCATGCTCGTACGACATCCTAAGTTTCACATGTAAGTCGAAGCATCAGGGAACAGAAAGGTTACGGACAGCTTGCGTTCCGAAGAGCAGGAACACCACAAACGGGACTGTTTGGATAAGTTCTATGTCAGGCGTGTGAGAGCGAAACGCCACGCACGAGATGACTGGATGAGGAATGGCGCGGCAGTCTTCACACCCAAGAGCGAGACGATTGCAGTCCTATTGTACGGTTGTTTCGAGTAAGATCAACTCGTAGAAAATGGAACATACGCGACGATAGCCAAAGAATACACCATGAATCCACACACACGGAGGGCACAGGAGATTAGAGGTTGATCTTTCTTCGCCTTTTTATAAACGAAAAAGCTGCGGTAGATTCCGAGCATGATCACCGCTAAGAGAAGAGGATTCAGGGTAAAATACAACTTGGATGAGAGCAAAGAAGACGTACAGAGAAAGCCGATACAAACGAGTAGGACGATAGCTGCGAATAGAGGATCTAAAAGCGTGCTGATTCCGACAATTCCTTTCAGTGATGGTGCTAGAGTTGGGTTTCTATTAAAATCAGGTCAGTACTTGAACCATATCTTTGGAATCATACAAACTTTGCAGCAGCCCCCTCAGTTGAGCAATACATAACGGTGTCTTGAGGCCCCATGAGGAAGGGAACTTGTGCTTGCAACGCGCCGTAGAAGATGATGAATACAATAAATGTAATGTACGGAGCGCTAAGAGCCTGCGGACGACACGATGAAGACAGACAACAATGGGAAACGATTAGACATACGACAATGTTGAAAATCCTCCTTCCGCGCTCTGTCCACTGCTGCATTTTCCCGCCGAGATTGAAAAATATCTGTTCGACTTTGAGTTACTGGATAGCTGTTGTAATTGATGCGATGCTACGCACTTGCAGAACTAGAGCAAGACCCGCGATACTGGACCTGCAAGACGTGTGACCGTTTGAGCAAGAAGATAGTGAGACAGGAGAAGGAAGTTACGCTGGCGGTGTCCCTTGTACGATGATCCCTTGGGCGACGCAAAGCGCACGGGATGGTGCGCGGCTCCCTTGTTGGTTGACGTAGAATCTGTACCGACACACTCAATTTCGCATAAATCGAGTCGATCATCCAACTCACAAGAGGGTGTATCCAATCGAGTATGGTATCCACAGGCCGCTTCAATTTGGAATTCATCAGGTCTACTTGTCTCTGAACAGATTTTGTACAAACACAAAGTTGACGAGTGTTGGATGCCGGTGAATCTTCCTCGAAAGGAGCATAGTCGCCACCAGGATAGGAATCAGAATATGTCCGCCAGCGATGTGTAAAAAGAGAAAGGCAGGTGCCCCTCCCATAACGATAGCATGCCCTAAATGTCGCAGGTTTAGTGGTCGATAGTCAAATGCCGAAACATCGGCGCACCTTCGTCGGCAGACATGATTGAGCGTAAATGAACAGAAAGAAAATAAACAAGAAAAAAGCACTCCTCAAGAGTGGAAGTGAGAGAAAGAAATGAAACGCGACCCGTCGAACTATGCCAAGCTGCAGCCAAACTGAGACATCAAATTTATAGGAGGCGGCTGTGCTTGATACCGATGTGATCCTCATTCAATGCGAGGAGAAGAGACCGAGGCGACCAAGAGGCGATTGAAAATTACTTCCAATTGATTTTCTTCCTTCACTTATTTATTGGTGGCGAGTCCCCAGTGCGCTGGGGCTGCTGGGGGGCCGCTCCAGCGCTTAGTAATGGATCGGGGACCGTGTACAAATGTACGTTGTCATCATGATCTCTTTGTTCCAGCGCTTCCAACGCAACAACAGCCGCGGATTCGCCCTCATTTTTTCGAGTATTTTGCATTTTGGGCAATTGCCCCATCACTCGCATTTCCGCCGACAACCACACGAACCCTCGCTCCTTTCCACTTCCGCCGCAGCTCCGTTCAATAATAGTATACAAAAATGCGATAAATAATTAGTCTCGCTACTATACTATGCTTGCGTTCTCCGGCCTCTCCGAGCACCGTCGCCGTCCTCTCCGTCGTACATCGTTGATCCTGACCTCTGTGCCGTTCGCTCGACGATGGACGTGCCATCCCTAAATCGCGTCTTGAACAGGACATTGGCGTTGGTGAACAGACCCTCCTTCAGCGACACAACAATGAATTGGGAGCCCTTGAAGCGCGTGCGGAACAGCTGCCCAATGTGTTGTGTGTGTGACAGATCGAGCGCTGCGTCTATCTCGTCCAGGATATACATTGGGGCGGGCTTGAATTGCAGGAGTGCCATGATGAGCGAAAGTGCGATCAAGGATCTAGTCATTGAGCAGATCAGTTGACAGACGCATCCAAGCAGAAAAGCACTGACCGTTGTCCTCCACTCAATTCAGTAAGGCTTTGCTTCCACACGCTCCCAAGTTGAACTTTGACCTCGAGACCATCCATTAGATCCTGGTCGTCAGGCGGTTGCAGCTTGGCGAAATTCCCAGGCAGAAGCTCAGCAAAGATGCCCCCAAAGTCCCTGCTACAGGGTTAGCGGCGAACGCTGATGTCTGTGGTGATGCATACCCGTCGACTTTCTTCCAGGTAGACTCCAGCGCCTCGCGCTTGTATCGGTCTAGCTCTGCAATTGTCTCCTCGATCTTTTCCTTATCCTTCATAACGGTCGCCAACATTTTTTTCAGTGATGTTTCTCGCTTTTCGACGCTGTTGTCCTCGCTCGTCAGCAAGACTCTGGCCGATACATACATTACACCTACTTGTCAATCATGGCAAGGACCTTGGGGTTAACCGTCTTCTTCATGCCTTTGTGCTTGCTCGACAACTCCTCGAATCGCAACTTTAACCCAGGAATGTCGTTGAACTCGAATTGGCCCTTCCTGCCAAATTGACTGGAAGATCCATGAGAACGGGGAAGGCACGGGGAAGTGAAAAGGCTCACTCCTTCTCATCTTGGATCCAGTCGTGCTCTTGCTCCAAATTCTTGATCGTACTGTTAGCGGCGGACAGGTCCTTATTCAAGTTTTGAACGTCAATGGTCAATTTCTGTTTGGCCAATTCGGCGTCGGATATGGCCTGTTTCTTCTCCTTGATAACACGATCGAGGGCCAACAGCTCGTTGTCAAACCGCTTGAGCGTCGCGCGCTCCTCTTGAAGCTTCTTGTCAGCTTCGTCGTACGCCGCCTAATAAAATATAAGACAACTTCCGAGGTAGGGGGTTAGTCTGAAGTACCTGTTTCTTACTCAATTGGTCATCGAGTTTTTTGAGTTCGCTCTGATGGCTGGCAACGCTACCGTTGGCCTCTTCCACAGTGCGCTCTGCTCCCTCGATGTCCGCCTCCATTTGCTCTAGAAATGAAGAGGTCAGATTCCTATCAGGTGAACGAAAAGATTGCGCTAACCCAACTCCAGAGTGGCCGTTTGCAGCTCCTTTTGCTGCGTTTTCACAATAACGGCATGCTTTTGAAGGGCCGCTTTCTGCTTCGAGATATCGGCCTGCAGAGCGTCTTCAATAATGTAGCACGAGGGGCAAATAAAAAGCCGACCTTAAGTTCATCAATTTTTCCGTCCTTGTTGTTTTTGAATTCGTCCATGTCCCGCTGGAGGCGCTTACAGTCCTCAGTTGCGAAAGCTTGCTTCTCCTCCGCGGTCTTGATAGCTGCCTTCAAATCCACGATTGTTTGTTTGAGCTTCTCCACCTGAGCGCCGATCTTTTGGTTGAAGAAGGATTAGGAAGAGAATAAGCACGGCGATTGAAAACGTACCTGGGCAGCATTACTGCCCTGCACCTGCTCCTCCATCAACTTCAGCTCATGCTCCTTCATGTCCAGCTCCCCAGCACGCGCTCTCCATTCCTCGCGCGCCTTCTGGGCCTTGCCGTGCTCCTTCTCGATCTCCTCTAGTTCTGCTGTGGCTTGGACGAGTTGCTGTTCGGCCTCGAGCAGCTGTTGGACCTTGATGAGTAGACCAGACCCTTTCGCCGCCGACCCGCCCGAAAGGGATCCAGAAGGATCGTACACGTCACCAGCAAGCGTCACTGAGCGCACCCGCACCGCATCCGCAAACGTGACGCGGTTGGCAATCTCAGCCGTATCGCAGATGAGAGTGTCGTTGAAGACAAACTCGGCGGCTTTGGTTATGTTGGGGTTGTACCCGACCAAAGAGAGCGCTGTGCGGACGTGGTCTTTACCTCCCAGCTTCTGCGCAGCTTGTAATTTCTAAAGGCAATATCAGGCACGTTGTCCATGAGATGAAGGAAGTGACACAGACGTGAGGAGCGATCGGAAACGTCGTGACCTTGTTCAGCGGAATGAGATTGACGCGTTTCTCGAGTTTACTCTTGAGGAGCTCCTTCCCAACTTTCTCATCGTCCACGACGACGTGATGAAGCCTGCCAGAGGATGCAACCTCAAGGGCTTGTGCGGCGAGATAGTTCTCTTGAGCAAGCGAAAGTAGCAATGCGACGCGACCCT